GAGAGAGAGAGAGAGAGAGAGAGAGAGAGAGAGAGAGAGAGAGAGAGAATATGAATATTGGAAGGAAATGACTCCTAGAAGTTGATGATGTTCATGTCTTAGCACTAAACACTTGAGAGTGTTGAGTTTGGTGTCTTTGTTTTTATTTTTCCTTTAGAATAAGAATAGCATTCCATCAAACTCAGACTAACAACAAAACAAACAAAAAGACCAGTCAGCCTGAGTTTCGCTCATTAATGACCAAATATTTATTTCTGATCATAATATTAAATTCTTCTGAGGCAAACACACACAAACGGCTGTGAATACACTGTTCTCTCTTGGAGAAGAAAAATGTCTCCTTCCTCAGGGCAAGAAATCTGTTATTCTATGCAGCTTTCAGAAGAGAGGTCACACATTTTCTTATTGATTTTACTTCCTATTTGGTAACAAAATAATGTGAGAAGAGGCAGTAAGTATTCCTGGCGACAAGCCCAGGTGCCAGGACATTGTCTGGATTCTGTCTTTCCCAGAAACTTCCTGGAAGATGAGCACTCTGAGCCCAGCACCAGAGACACACATGTGCACTTTCAGGGGTAGCTTTCTGGTAATTCATTACTTGTAAGCACAGGCCAGTTGGATTCCAGGTGCTGCTTGGAATTCTCTAGAAGTTCTTTTATTGCACAGAGAGATGGCGTCAGCCAGTGCTCTTCTGGAAGCCCAGAGACTATGAGTGGCAGCCCACACTCTTGCTTGACCTTTATTTTCACAAAGAGCTGGTGGGGGGACCATTTCATTCCCCTCCAAAGGTTGATGAGATGGGAAAGGGTTTGAAATAAGTGCTTCATTTGACTGGAAATGACTGTGTCTATCCCTGCTCTTCAGGCAACATCAGGAACACCGAGAAGCTAAGCTTTGACAAACAACGTCAGTATGAGATCCTGGTAACCGCTTATGACTGTGGACAGAAACCTGCTGCTCAGGACACCCTGGTACAAGTGGACGTGAAGCCAGTGTGCAAGCCTGGCTGGCAAGGTGAGCCTGCTTTGATTAGTTGTACTATGAGACGGCAACTTGACCGGGGGCACAGAGGGTGCTGAACATGTCCACAAATCTCACAGCATATGTCTGAAGGAAGTTTAACAGCAAGAAGTGGTAGTTTTTGCCTTCCCACAACTCTTCAAGCCCTGTTCCACAGTTGAGAACATCAGATAAACTCGTCTCTAACCACAGTTCTCCCTTACTCAAATTCCATTACATTCTGGAGCTTGGGAGGGATTGCCAGGGTCTGATGACCAAGTGTGTTGAGCCTTCTTCAAGTTCTGCATCATTGCTCAGCTCCTAGGGGATGTCTACGTGACCCTTGTGCTTAGACACAGTGCCAATCACGCAGGGGTGGGAGAGATGGATCAGGTCTCTGGGTGAGGGAGTTTCTGGAAGCCTGGTGCAGGGAAGGGCAGAGCAATGGCCCTCAGGGGAGCTTCATTTGTGTCAGTTTGGATCTTTCAGGAAGCAGACAGGACATTCTCCAGTCACCCCTTGGTGCCTGACTGAGGGTCAGGAAGGGAGGCAAAGACAACTGTGTAGATGGCTCTTGCAATGAACCGAGTATTCTTTAGAATAATAACCATAGCTGTCAGTGACATCAGTGGGTCTGGTGGTCAAGGAAGGATGCTGGTGTTGTCTTCGCGTCTTGGGTTTGGTGTGCACCACTCTGTTTCTTCTGCATATGTTGAGGATGCTCCTGCTCAGTCTTAATTCCTGAAAACCCAGAGAGTGATGCAGGAATGAATGAAGGAAAGAATGGACAAGAGAGCAGAACAAGCCAAGCTGGAAAAGGACACTGTTTTCCTGACTTCAGGAACCTGAACTCTAGTGGGTGTGATCCACCAGGAGGTGGGAGGCAGGATCTTACCTGACTTACTATTGCATCCCTGAGGCTTAGCACAGTGTCTGGCCCCAATGGAAGATGCTTAAGAAATGACCAATGGATGGATGGATGGATGAACTAACACCTGAATAAGAAGTCACTGTGTTTTATTTTAATCTGTAAAGATCAACAGTGAAATCCTGGCCTTTCAAAAGAAAGCCTAGAAAAAAAAATGTTTCATAAGCACAGGGCAGAATCACAATGGGTTTTTAAATGGAAAAGGCAAAACATAAGGTTGTATGTAAAAAATTATCCCAGTACATTTTGTCTTTGACAAATGAGGCACCTACAGACTTTGGAGTAAGTGTTCATGCCTGTATTTAAACATAATTTATTTATAGAGTTTTGTGCTTGTTAAATCTATGCAAATTTAGTGTTAAAGTGTGTGAAAAAAAGCTTATCATCTTGCATAATTTTCGCGTGAGGAATGTATAGGGCACCTACCCTGTAGTGAGTAATACTGCTGACAGTGCCCGTAAGTGAGCTTGAGCAGCCAGAGTGGGGTCAGCTGCCTGTCCTGTCTCCAGCATCATCAGAGACCCAGACATGACGTAGAACCTTACAGTGTTAAGATGATTAATGAATGGGCAGTGAGACCTTGGTTTAAGACAGAATAAAAAGCCTTTCCTGGAACAAAAAGGGAAGAATGCTTTCCTTGCATCCGTTCATCAAGTCAGACAGTGATCTACACTGTGTGTGATACTAGAGTCAGCTGCTTCGCCATGGTTCTTTGCCTACACGGGCAGCTTGTGGTGGCAGATGCTGTACATGGAGAGCCTCTCCCTCCAGTTTACCTTCTGCAAACCCCATCCAGTCCCTCTCCCATCTACTAGCCCAGCAACCTTTCAGATCATAATGGGACTCTCCAGGCTATCTGTTGTACTCAGGAATGATCACCATACCCTTCTACCGTTTATGCCCCCACCCTTAGAGCTCAAGAGGACACTTCCCTTGAGCTAACATCTAACCCCATCTAACATCCTGGTCCCAGGCGGGTAAGCACCTCTCACCTCCAGCCCTCCACCCTGTTCTCTCTTCTACCCTCGGGCAAGGCTGCAGGCTCTTATCTGGATGGACACCTTTTTCCAAGGAAAAACCACACTCAGATGGTCCTGGATGTGCTTTTCTAACCTGGTCCATTCTCCCAGATTTTCAGGTCAACCTACAGTGAGCCATGTCTTGCAGGTTCCTTTGCTGCCTATAGACAAGGCAGGCTGCCTCTCATAGGTGGAAAGGTTAGCCTTTGCTTGGGGCATGGCTGAGGGAATACTGTATATGGGAGAGGAACCCAGAAAGGGGATGATGTTTTTGTTGAGGAGAAGAGTAGCCTGGCTTTCAGAAACTGCTATGACTAGGAAATGGAGGAGACGTGATGGGAGAGGTCAGGAGTAGGGTGAGGTAGATGGCCAAGATACCGATGTCAGGTCAGTGAGCCTCGGTGAGCCTCAAGCCCTCAGACCTGTGGAGCAGTCACATCCGTGTGCCTAGTGAGATTCCCTGTAGTTCTGTGGGAGAGCCTAGGCCCCTCCCCAGCTCACTTCCCACTCGCAACTTAAGTCAGCAAACAGTGTTTGGCAGTTTAAATTCTTGTACCTGTTCTAAGCCATTTCCCTGCAGGCGGGAGGGTTTGCAGCACACTGAAAACAATCTGTCATGTTCAGAAGTTCTGCCTCTTGGGAGCACTCCCAGTCAGCACCCCACCAAGCCTTTGCTGCGGTCCTCTCCTCCCCGGGAGCTGTCGCTGCAGAGCAAGGGGACCTGCTCATAGACGGAATCTCCCTGAGCCCACAAGGAATCTGCGCTCAGACTCCAGTGATGGTCCAGAGTAGTGGCCCCTGATTTCTGTCACAAATAACCCCCCTCATATGAAGGTCCTTGCCTTGTTCACATGGCCCTGGCCTTACTCACCTGTATGTAAGACACCAACCCTGCCACCAGCTTTATTGCACACCTTAGCCAAGGTGTGATCTCTTCAGACTGGTTTTCCAGCTCTTGTTTCCTTTCTGTGGATTGGCCTTGTCTTCTCAGAAAGCACACGAGCTCCTTGAAGGCAAAACCGTTCTTCTCACAGTTTCTGACATATCACTTACACATAGACTAAAGACTCACTTGCTAGCTTCACTCCCCAGTGGGTGGAGGGGGATCCAGCTGGCAGCAAGAGAAGGAAGGAAGGATTTGTAGGCAACACGTGACCCTAGGGTACCAGGCATGCTCGTCTGTCTTGCTCTTGAGAGCAACTCTGAGGCAGTAACACTGACAAGTGACAGACAACAGCTCACTACGGGGGTCAGCAGTCCCTTTCACATTTGGCCAGGGAGGAGAAGATCTCAAAGCACAAAGTGTGTCTTTGTTGTGCCCGACAGTTTGAGACCGTTATTCTTAGAGATACATCCAGTTATAGGATGAAGGACTCTACCAGAAGCCAGCGAAGAAGTGCATACGTAGTCTCAGAGGGCAAAGGCAGGCTGGCGTCATGCCTCTCCTGCAAGGTGTCGGGATCACAGTCACCTCGGTGTGTCACTTCCCTCTTGGGTGAAATTTTGTCAGCTGACCCTGGTGTTCAAGGACCATGGAGCAGGATCCACGCCCGTGGGGAGCAGGATCCACGCCCGTGGGGAGCAGATGGCCTCCTGAGTCAATGTGTGTTGTTGACATGAACACAGCCATGTCAAGGACCCCAGGACCTGACTCCCAGGAACAGCAAAGCCTTCCCCTGCTCCCTGACCTGCCACAGATGCTGACAATGTTTGTAGAAAGTGCTAGCAGAAACCTCCTCTTCCCTGATATTTACAGCCTGAGACAACTCCATGGAAGAGATCCCCCACAGAGGTGAGCTGAACCTGCCCTTTTGTTCAGCTGCATACAATAAACCCACCTTCTTGATACAAATGAATCAAATAAACACACCGAGTCTCTGGCTGCTACTGTTCGTAATGCATGCTAGGATTTATCATTTCTACCTGATCCTGCCAGACAAGACCCAAACCCCACTACTCACTGTCCGTCCATGCAAAATGATCCTCTTATAAAAGACAGGAGGAGATGGACCTTCCTGGTGGCCTTTACTATTTCTTCCCTGGGCTTGTAATTGACCTAGACAAGCAGACAAGTGGGTCTGGCCTTCCCGGATTGCAGAGTCAGCTCTCCAGTCCTCGAGAAACTCCCTCAGCCTTGAGCAGCGGACTCCAGGAAGTTAGGCAGGCCTCACTCAGCAGTTCACTGGACTTGGTTGTAAGTTCCATGGGCCCAAACAACACCTTTCCTTCAAACCTTCACAAAGATACATCCCATTTCTATAAAAAGAAAAGAGCCGGGAAATGGTGGCGCACGCCTTTAATCCCAGCACTTAGGAGGCAGAAGTGAGCAGATCTCTGTGAGTTTAAGGCCAGCCTGGTCTACAGAGGGAGTTTCAGAATAGCCAGGGCTGTTACACAGAGAAACCCTGTCTCAAACAAAAGGGGTGGGGGGTGAAAGCAAGACGTAGCCATGTAGTTGAACACTCACTGCTTCTGTGTTCTCTGCGTTGAGATGATTCTGTGGGTACATCAAATCACCCCAGAGGCTTCACCAGGCTTGCATAGGGAAGAAAGCATGGCATCTTTTGGGGAGCTCTTCTCAAACCTGGATGTCCCCCTACAAATCAGTCAGGGGCCTTGCTAAAATGCAGACCCAGACTTAACAAGACTGGATAGGCCCGGGGACTGCAGATGCATAGACTTCGTTTTGAATAAGAAGATGATGCAGATGGCACCGTCAAGGCCACGGAGTGAGTCTGTACCATCTGCACTGGAAAAGATAACGGCAGGAAAGCCGCTGGTTGGTATCAATGCTCCTACCTGAGTCACACCAGGAGACCTGGAGCTCGCATATATATACTACGATACAGGAGACGCTCTTAGAGTGAACATTTCCCTGGCCACCAAACAGTTCCCTCATCATAGAGGCCCTCTGTGTGCTGAAGGCAGGGTCTACAAAGCCCTATCTAGATGTGACCTAACAGAATGCCTAGCAGAGGAAACAGTGGCATACTGTGACGGAAAGACATGGTGTTGGGACCTCTGGAAGTGCAAATGAGATGCTGCGCTTGAAACAGGCAGGAGTCCTT